CAAAATAGGCTCCTTACATAAACTCAAAGGCTTTCTTATGTTGGATTTTACCATCGAAACTAGCGATGATGGTTGGTTGGCTAATATATTTACCTATAGACCTGTAGTGAGAGAATTTTAATTTTGCTTCTCAGTGTTTTATTTTTCAACCATAAGCTCAAACTCTGTGTGTGTGTGTGTATACATATACATATATATATGTATGTATGTATATATTTTTTTGGGGGGAGTTGGAACTCAGGGCTTCCCACTTTCCAGGCTCAACTGTACTGGAGCCATGTTGCCAGCCCAATCCCTCATTTTTGAAGAAGACGTGATCAAAATTGAATGGGTAACTAACTTATGGTATTCTTTACTGGGATTGTTGACAGATTTTGCTACCTTCCCTCTTTGTTTACGTTAGTGATATTTAGATTAGGGCAACAAAACTGAGTGGTATTTTGTTGCCTAAAGCACAAAGAACTTACTTTATTACTTTGACAGTGTCTATGTCATAGGTAGCAGCAGCCCATTCTGTGGTAGAGAAAAATGAGACTTAGAGATGGATAGTGTCCATTTGAGGGCAGGAGCCTGTAAATGGCACTATGAAATGCAGACCCAAGTTGTCTCATTTTTCCTTTTCTAGGACCCCAAATTCTGTCTAAAATTGAACATATGATAAACATGTAATTGCATTTCTTGCACAATTTTTCCAGACATTTAGACACAGAGCTTTGGGGTTTTTTCTCAGCTAAATGCATTTTTTTTCTCATATCAGCAGTTCTTAGGGATTTATCTTCCAAATATGTATCGATTATTTATGCCATTCATTTGAGTTTTTAGAGCCAGAAATTCTGCCTCTTAATTTTTGGAAAAATACCCACAAATTTTTGGGGAACAGCAGTCCTTTCAACTGAAAGGCTTTATTTAAAATGGTATCTGCTGCCCCACTCTTCCTGGTCTCCTGGTGTCCCTGTCTGTTAGCAGGCTTCCATCTGTTTTGCTTCTGTTTTTGTTCGTTGGCTGGGGGATTGCAGCAGAGGACCACCGTCTTTCCCTCCCGGCTGTAACCTTTCTTCCTGCTTCCTGCTTGCCTTCATTTCCCTAAACTTTTACTATTCTGTGTGTGTGTGTGTGTGTGTGTGTGTGTGTGTGTGTCTGGGGCTTAAACTCAGGACCAACACCTTGAGGCATTCCACCAGCCCTTTTTTTGGTTTCAGGTATTTTTGAGATAGGGTTTCATGAAATATTTTGCCCAGGCTGGCTTTGAACCACTATCCTCCTGATCTCTGCCTCTTGAGTAGCTAGGATTACAGGCATGAGCCACAGGTGCCTGGCATTTTTACAGTTCTTTATAAGCCTTTGGGGAGCTCACGTTCTGAGAGTGTTGGGGTCTTGTTGGATCACACCGATATGATATCTGTTGCTTTGGAAAGGGGAGAGATGGCATTTTGCAGTTTCGTTGTAATCATCAATGAACAGTAGCAAAGGGTGTGTCTCGTGCACTGTGCTGAGAATTTACTCCCTCAATGTGTGTATTCTTTCACAGCACAAATGAGGCATGCTGTGTTCTCCTTCCTGTTTGTGGCTGTGCCTTTTGAATACTGCAGTATCATTCATAGTCCAGCTTGGTTTTCCTTTTTTCTGTTTCTATCACAAAACACCCCAAAGACCAACAGTGTCAGTCACAGAATCCAAAACAGCTGGTTGCTCTGCCCTGCCTTGTACTCTGTGGCTTGGGTTTGTCTTCTCTTCCGGAATAAGTGGGTAGTTTCTTCCTATTTTTTTTCTTTTGTTCTATAAATGGGGGAAAAAGTGCCAAGTAGGGAGACTGCTCTTCCATTTGAAGGAGCTGCCTGTCCCAACTCTGCCTGCTGCACGGCTTCCGTTGACTGAGTGGTCTTTGCTGGCTGTAGAAAGGAGCCAGATGGCAGAGAGAAGAAATTCTTCCCTACGGCCTGCATTTTGATTGCAGTATGAAAGTCCAGCTCACTTTGGTTGTATGTCTTCATGCATTTTCACTGGGTCTTGATCTGTTGGAAATGATAGCAAATAAATTGATGCCTCCTGTTTTACTATAAGCATGCTGACTACAATAATTGAGTTTAGATACTCCTCTACAAAAACTTTTTATTATTTAAGAGTAAATATTCCTTGACTCTGAAAAAGGACTAAGAGCCCTTACTACTCAAGGACATTCAGTCATTGACCTGAAGCTGGGTAAAAAGCAAAATGGAGAAATGAGAGCTGGGGGAAGGAGAGAGGAGTTGGGAGTAGAGATGTTTGAGAACCATTGTAGCCTAGGTGCTTGGACACAGCTCTGAGGGGGTGACATCTGCATTGAACCCTGCTTGGGGAGAGAATAGACCAGCGTGTGAAGAATGGGGAAGCCCTAAAGGCAGCAGGGTATGAGGAGGGAAGAAGCTTGGCCTGATGGAGTTGGTGACTAATGAGTGCTAGGCAAAAAGAACATTAAAAGATGAAGTAGAAGTAGCCAGGGCTGAGCTCCTATAGAGCCTTGCTGGTCTGGTGTGGGGTCAGGGATAGACTTGGGGGGAGAGTGGACAATAGGAAGATGTTGCTGCAGCCTAGGCTGGAGATGACTGTGGTTAGATCAGAGTTACAAAGGTGGAGACATACTGACAGAATGGAATTTATTCGTGCTACACATGTTCTGTGATGTGTTGGTCATGCACCAAGTACTGTGCTACACCTTGGAGACATAATTGTGAACTAAGTAGAATTTTTTCCCCATCTCCCTGAAGGTGCAGCATGGTAGGAGTGGTCAGAATGGGAGAGCATGAGTAGAAAGGTCAGAACTGGGTTCCAAAGAGGTTAGACATGACCTGTGAGGGAAACGAATAGGTCAGAGGGGAGCAGTGAGCTACACAGGGAGGAAGAAGGGGTCATAACTATGGGAAAAGCATCCAAGATTCCCATAGGCTTGGGAGGGGGAGCACAGAGGAGGTGTTGCTGGGATGGCATGTGTGCTGTGTGAGAAGCATCAGGAATGACTCTTGAGTTTTGACATGAGCAAGTCACAAAATGGAAATAACATCAAGCAAGATATGGAGGCTTAGTAGGTGGCTTGGGGGTGGGTGGGAGGAAGTGAAATGAGTTATCAGACACCCCCATGAGACCTAGGGAAAGAAGATGGATATACTCCTTGGAGGAGTCTAGGTCAATGACGTACATTTAAAGATCACAGGAGGCCACTTGTCTGGGTGAGATGATAGCAGACAACATCTAGAGGTTAGGTAAAAGGGGTAGAGTGGACAGTGGCTTATGGAATCTGGAGGTTCACATAACATGAGGATAAGGAACTGTCTGTCATTAGCTTTGATAGTGTCATTGGAGGCTTTGCTGAGATTAATTTGGTGTCACAATGGGTACAGACACTCAGTGGGAGTGGAGGTAATCAGGAGATAAGGATGCTGAGAGCTGGGACTGTTTGCAAACCTTGTGTCCGTTTTTTTTTACTGTGAAGGGGCAATTATCTTGTGAATGAGAACTTGGATGAATGAGCTGACTTCTCCAAATCTGTTTCCTCATCTTTAAAGTGGTGATGGTATTGCCTCTACTGATATGAGTTAGGAGCATCACATGACATGAAACAAAATCATGCATTAGGAACTTCTAGCATGCCTGGGTGGGTGCTGAGTGCTGGCTTCTCTGTCTTAGGAGCCTCATTTTCTCATCAGTAAAATGAGGGAATTGGACCAAATGGAGTTGCGTATTCTAGATTGTCAAGCTTCACCAATTCTTAGCCTTTGGATCCCTCTGTCTTCCCTTCCTACCACCATCTTGGCTATAATGCTGAGTGGGACATCTCCTTTCTCCTTATTTTATCAATCCTGTCCTACATTGACCACTGGATGAATCTCCCAAAAGTCTTCACTTGGGCTTTTCTTCCACTCTGGACCTCATTCCTATGAGATGATACTTCCCATCCCCAGATGTAATCCTTGACTTGGGTTCTACCAGACTCATTTCCTTTCCTCTGCTCTCTGCATCCCTGACTTGCCATCTCTTGAATATATCTTGTTCGGCTTTGTCTCTGGCCTCTGGAATGTTATATGTAGTTTTAAATTCAGAGAATCTTTGATGCTACCTTGTCTGTTCTGTTCCATTTGTGCCTGAAGTGGGCTTGCTGTGTGCCCTCCACCTCCTGTTTCTTTGTATCTCTCATGGCATCACATATATATTGGGTACTTCACAAATTAATGAATTATGTAGACCAGAGAACTTCACTGTGTTGGAGAAGCTTTAATAGTGGGGTTGGGGATTATTAAATATTGAGAAAGTATGGTAGCTAAGAGAGTGTTTGGTGTGTGTGTCTAGAATTTTAAAAATAAAGACTTCCAGTCTTGAGGCCATTTTATCAAAAGCCTTTAAAATTGGGAAAGTGCATTGGCTCAACAATTCCAATTGTAGGGATTTGTCCTAGGAAAATAGTCTTGGATATCAGTCAAGAAAGTTCATTGGAATATTATTTATAATGTAAAAAATTGGAGCTAACCTAAAATGTTCAACAAAGGGATTTTTTTTTTTTTAAAGAAAAGAGGACTTGTAGTACATACTCATACTCTAGAATTCCTGTCTTTTTTAAAAAAATGGTGATGTAAAAGGACATTTATTGACTTGGTAAAAAGGTCATGTTAAGAGAAGGAAGTATATAAATTTTATTGTCTGATTTCATTTCTCTTAAATTGTTTATAGAGAAAGGATAACTGGTCTAATTAGCATGAACATTGTTTATCTGAGTATTAAGGTCACTAATGATTTTTACTGTCTTTGTTTTAAGCATGTTTTCTTGGTTAATAAGTCATTTTTCTAAAGTTGAAATTGTATGTCTTTAGTATTCATAAAATCATGTTTTTTACCTTTCTGTTCAGCCACCCCTTGTATTTACATTAGTACTCTACTGAGGAGAATACAGGGTCACCCAGGCCATGTCAAATGGTAGCAGGAAGCATGGGAGCATCCTTCTTTGAGCCCCTACTTTTTAGGTCACAATGACTGTTGTCCAATGTAGACTTTATTGCTTGGTGTCCCTCAGGTTGGATGCAGTAGTAAGTCTTGGTCACTCAGCTCTTGTTAAGGCTTTGGGAGCTGATGCTCTATAGAACAGACAGAGACTGTGAAGACTGGCAACCTTGACTTTTGCATGTAACCCCATGTGACCTTGGGCTCTAAGTTTGCATGTTAAATGCAGCTGGCCTCTCCCACAGTTGGCAAGCATGTTGAAAAGTGTCTGACCTAGTGTAGGGACCTCATGAATGACAGTAACCAGATAGATACCTAGGTATTCACCTTGCAGCTCACACCTCATTAGTCTGCAGTGACAAATTGAACCTTTTTTCCTTAATACAGGTTTCCTATAACCTGATCATATTATGGGTTGGAAAATAGTTTTAAGAATGGTTTCCTTTTCACTGAAACATGTTTTGCCTTTGTCCTCTTGTCTCCCTTCAGTCTGCGGGCCGGGCATTGACATCCGTAATGACTATCAGCAGCTGAAGCGCCTGGAGAACTGCACGGTGATCGAGGGCTACCTGCACATCCTGCTCATCTCCAAGGCTGAGGACTACCGCAGCTATCGCTTCCCTAAGCTCACGGTCATCACTGAATATCTGCTGCTGTTCCGTGTGGCGGGTCTTGAGAGCCTTGGGGACCTCTTCCCGAACCTCACGGTCATCCGTGGCTGGAAACTCTTCTACAACTACGCTCTGGTCATCTTTGAGATGACCAATCTCAAGGATATTGGGCTTTACAACCTGAGGAACATTACTCGGGGGGCCATCAGGATTGAGAAAAATGCTGACCTCTGTTATCTCTCCACTGTGGACTGGTCCTTGATCCTGGATGCCGTGTCCAATAACTACATTGTGGGAAACAAGCCCCCGAAAGAATGTGGGGACCTGTGTCCAGGGACCTTGGAGGAGAAACCGCTGTGTGAGAAGACCACCATCAACAACGAGTACAACTACCGCTGTTGGACCACAAATCACTGCCAGAAAAGTAAGAATGCCATGGACTACTGCTTTCTTTCTGCTTCTCCCATTTTTGTCTTCCTCCTCCTCCCTCACCCTCCTCTGTGGTCTAGTAAGGCCCCATCACATACCTGCTTTGCAGAGGTGTTCGTAGCAGGGTTCTTGGTTGACTTTCTTTTGCATTCAAGAGCTCTTGGAATGCAGGACTGTGGCATGGTTGGAGGCCATCATGGTTGCTGTCAAGACTGGTCAGATCACATTTGACTGCACTTCTGGGCAAGAAGCTCAACCTTTAATTTTGAATTCTGATGAGAAAGGAAACCTGATGTGCTTGGAAGTCACCGAGCCTAGGCAGATGGGGGCTGCTTATATGTCACCTCTTTTATTCTTGTGAAGGGATATTTTTTGGTATGCAGGATTTCTTTAGTTTGTCCTGTACTTGGACTATGATTAATAGTAAGGAGCACATTCCTTTGTGCTCTTTGTGAAAGTGATCCTTGGTTCTTAGTTTCTACCCTGTGAGGCCTAAGTGTCCTGGCTTATGATGGAACACCCAGCTGAGGCAGGAAAACCTCTGGACTGATTTCCAGGAGTCCATGGTTCAGGCTGTACTACAGGTAGCTGTGTAGGATGGTGTATTTTAAAACCTTTGGGCTTCCGTTTCCTTCTCTCCGCCCCCCCGCCCCCCCTTTCTTTCTTTATACACCTGTTTACAGAGCAGTTGTGAAAATCTTACACAATCCTTTAATGAAGGAACTTTGAAAATATTCAATAATCTTGGGGTCTTGGGGTGGTATTTTGAAGCTTATTGTTTATTTGTCTGTAGTATGCTTATTTTTCCTTCACAATAATTGAACTCTTGCCCTAATGTGATCAGAAAGCCAAGGTTCCCCCTGCCCCGCCCCCATTGTTGTTATTAACTAAAATATGGCTCAGGCCTTTGCTTTATTGCATTCAGTGATGTTTAGATAGTGTGGCCAGGAAAGTTCCCTTTACTGGGTTTCCCTCAGTGTAATAGCTATAAACAGCTATTATTTAATGGTTGGCCCAGCTAAAGACCCAAGGAAGTCATGTACTTTAGTCATGAAGAAATCCCAAATCCGTAGGCTTGTCTAAATTATGAAGTGCGTAAAATCAAGAAATAAAAGGCCAGACTCCACCGATAGCTCTCGTTTTAGTTCCTTGTCAGCCAGGGCTGAAGCAGGAAGGGAAGTGCCTCTTTGACCCGTTAATATCCCTATATTTGATCAGTGTGTGTGTATGAATGTTTGATTAGTAGGGGCTAGGATCCCACTGGCTGCAGGCAGTACCTCGAAAAGCTATCACCAGCAGGTTACTTTAAGAACTAGTTTGCTAGAGGAGGAGAAAGCAACTTTTATGATCAATTAAAAGTGTACCCTATCCTTGTCTTAACCAGTGGTTTGGTAAAACAACAAAATGTATTTTTCAAGTAGCCTTGACATTTAAAAAAATTTCATCTTCAAAGGAAAAGGTGCTATCGAGTGAGCCAGTGTTGGATGGGAGAGAGATCCTGGATGCAGGGACGAAGAGTCCCAGGTGACCTTGGATGAGCCAGCTTCTCTGGACTATAGTTGGACATGTTCCTAGGGCAGTTACATTATTCTTTCATGATGATCAAATCAAATACATGCATGAAAGTGTTTTGAAAACTCATAAGCTCTGTACAAAAGGGAGGTGCTATTTAAGGCATCATTAGATGGGCATCTGTTTGGTGATTCAGTAGGTTCTTTGATCTCGTCGTGTGGCTTTCCGGCTGTTTCTGACCAGCTGCTTGTGAAAGAAGCCTGGGGTAGGGATGAGGCCTGAATTCTGGGTCTAAGTTTAAGAGCAGTGACCAGAAGTGAGCAAGTAATTTAAATTGCCTGATCCTTAGTTTCTTTATCTGCAAAATGGAATCGATCCTTCCTTCCTCATAGGGTTGTTGGATGATGAAAAGGAGAAAGAGGAAAAGCACCATGAAAAAGTAATGAGGATTATAAATTGGGCCTTGATGCTGGGTCTGTTGACTGGATGCCAGCCTCCACAAGGCCACGCCCTTGCAGCCTTTTTCTTGGCCAGCTGTCCCAGTCCTGCTGATATGTTTTGTGATTTCACAATGGAGTACTTACTTAAAATTGATAAAAGCATTTGGGGAAGTTGTCCTCCCTTTACCTTGTCCTGAAAACAATTTCTTAGAAGTTTTTAATTGAGTTGGAATTCTTTCCTTTTGCATAGATTCCCCTAAGTCTTGTGTTGTCTGATGTGGGAGCCACCTAGCCTCATGTGCCTTACCTGTGCACTGGAACTGTGGCCTGTGTGAAATGAGATCTCCTTTAAGTGTAAAATGCACACTGGGTTTACAAGAAGTAGAATGGAAAAACCCTGTAAAAGATCTCATAAGTAATTTCTTATGCTGAGTACATGTTGAAATATAAGATGCTGGATTTATTAGGTTAAGTAAAATGTGCTATTAAGATAATTTACTTGCTTCTTTTTACTTTTGAATGTGGCTACTGGAACTTTTGAAATTACAGATGGCTTGCATTCTGTGTCTATTGGAGAGTGCTGTTTTACAGGCTTCCTTTGAGGCTGGGAGTTCTTCTCCTTGTTCTCTTTTGGCCTGCTGGTCTGTTCAGTTGTGTTATATCCTGCCCTCTCCAGCCAGAACCCTTGGTAATCATTCAGGGAGCCAGGGGAAGGGCATTGAGTACAGCTAGAATGGCCAGTTTGAGTTCACCAGAAGCATTAGATGACCATTTGAAAAGAGTATGTGTGGAAGAAACCCACTCAGTTGTTGTTCTGCTGGTTGGCTGCAGAAGTAGAACATCTGGAAAGAAACATCACATCAAGGGCACGTGTGAAGTTGTTGATGTCTTGGAGAAGCACTTGATTGTGTAGTGCTGACGTGCAGCTTTTACTTGACACTTTTTAATCACCTCTTAGATCATGACTGCATTGGTGGTCAGCATGATAGTAGACAGTGCACTGAGCAAGTGACTGCTGTATGGGTTGTCTGCACACTTCTTTATTTCTTTCTGCTCATGACTTGAGAAGAGATCTTATGCAGGCCTGCATTGTTTCTAAAGAGTGAGAAGAATTGTATATGGTCTTTTCTCTTCAGTAAGAATGTAATTGTTGGTGCTCTAGTGTTTGGGTGGTCAGTTCCTCCTCCCTTGTCTTCTAACATCCTCCTTTTCGGGTTCTCCTTCTACCCTGTATTTGGTGCTTTGTTGCCCCCTTTCCTCAGTCTAGTCTTTACTAGTTGGTGGTCTCCAGTTTTAGTCCTTTGGGCTGTTGTAACAAAATACCATGAACTGGGTAGCTTATAAGCAATAGATTTATTTCTCACAGTTTTGGAAGTTGGAAATCCAAGATCATGATGCTTGCAGCTTCCATGTCTGGAGAGGGCCTGCTTTCTGGCTCATAGTGCCTTTTTGCTGTGTTTTCACAGTAAAGGAAAGGACAAAGCAACTCTCTAGGGTCTCTTATAAGGACACTAATCACATTCATCGGGGCTCCACCCTTATAGCCTAATCATTTTCCAAACACCCCACCTCCTCACACCATCCAGTCAGATATTAGATTGAGGAGGGCATACACATTCAGATCATATCATGGCAAGAGTCCCATTTTTCTTGTTCCCATTGCATCCACTGGTCTTTCTATGTCCTGGTGTCTTTATGTAGTTCCCAAATACCATCTATAGCCCAGACCTCTTTTTGAACTCTAGACTACATCCATTCATATGTAGGTGACTCTAAGCAGTTGATTATCTGATGGTCTTCCTTGCTCCTCACTTCTGGCCTGTTGTTTGTCTTGTATTCCCTTTGGAGAGTGGTGCACACTCTCGTCCCCTTAGCTCTCATGTCAGAAACATCCTGTTCTTTGGATGCTTACTTTTCTAATTGGACACCAAGCCCTCCCTATCCAAAATTTTGCTTCGGTCTGCCTTCCTTCACTCCATCCTTTGCCTTTGTTGTGACACAGTTCCTCTGAAACCTCCTTGATTTGTGCCCGGCATCTCTACTTGGCACCAGTGAACATCTCAGCACATACTGCATGGAAATACTCCTCTCTATGCAATCCTGTAGCAGGTCCCTAAAGAATTAGCGTTTACATACCATGAAGCTCCTTGGTTGTCCTTGACCTACTCCATGACACCACACCATGTACCATGTTCTGCAGCCTCCTTCCTACCGGCAGGGGCTTGATGCCCGGTGGTCCTCTTCTACACTAACCAGCCACCCCCCACTCACCTGGCCCAGCTCTAGTCTTGCCTTTTTCCACCAGAGGACCTTTGGGCTTTGCAGCCTCTGGTAGGCTTGTCTCCCAGCACCTGATGGGACATCTTTTGCAAAACTGTGTGAATTCTGGGTGTCTCCTACAAGGTATGACTGTCACCCCAGAGGCAAGCATGGTGCCTACTCTGTGAAGGATTTATTGTCAGGAAGATCCATTTCTCCCCCTCAGCAGAGGGCAATGTGCAGTGGCAGTCCTCAGGTCCAAGGATGCTAGGATTATGAAATGCTTTTTTGACATTTCTTTTGTCCTTGTTATCATCATTGCTACCAAGGAACACTGCCACCCAAAACATCTCTAGCTCTTAGTGGTCAGAGAGGATCCACCATGGATGTGAATTCTTCTCTCTCCTGCCATTGCCAGAATGATTCAAGGCCAAAGATAGAGAAATATTAAAATCATCTGAAAGACTGAAGCTTGGCTGGCGAAGCTGTGAATTCATTACTTTGTACTGCAGTTTTGCTGAAGGCAAGCCACATGCTGGGAGGGGCAGAGGTGAATCCTCCCGAGTGCCTGTGGTTTTCTTACTTCGCAGTGAACTTGCTTATGTAGTGCCTGATGTTTGCTTGATAGAGAGGCTCTCTGGCATTTGATTTTAGTATAGGCACCACTTCCTAAATAAATACATACATTTATATTTAAAAAGGCTAAAACTTAAGACCTTAACTGCTAAAGTTTGTCTCCAAGTACTTTTTAGCCCATCAGCTTATGGTGTACTCAGGTTGTCCTAATTGCCTGTGGGAAGGTCTGGTCTTTGCCAGAAAATCCATGAAGGGCGAGACTGGCCACGTTGGAAACCAGCTTTGCTGGGCAGCTTTATTTCAATTAAAAGGGCATTGACTGGAACAGTGGTCCTGGAGTTTGTTGCATTTCCTACTGCCTTAGAAATAAGAAAGCAGGAAAGTAGCAGATTGGAGCCTTGGAGCAAGAGCAGAATGGGCCTCTTTTTCCTGACAAAGGAAGACGTTCTACTCATCTCACTGGTTGGATCAGGGGCATAAAATGAAGGCAGGAAGTGTAATGTGAAAAAGGCAACTCTACATTTTTTTCCTGCTACGCATTCTTGAGTTCTGGTTTATCAGACACCCCTTACGTGGGCAGCATTGGCCTGGGAGTAGGATTGTTACCCTTCCCTCATTTTCTTATAAGTTGGTATGTCAGGCCTGTTAGGTTAAGGTGGAGAACTTGTTTATGTATTTGTAAACCACCTGGATTTGAGTAGGGGTAGGGGCCCTGGAAAAACAGTTTCTTCTCTGTGAGTGTCTAGTCATGTGATACGTGGTATTTTATTTTAACATTTTGTTTTAAACATAAGCTACTTGTGAAGATCTGGAGTATGTCTTTTAAATGCTGTGTGGTCTGCCATAGGCTCCTGAAGA